AATGCATGAGTGAGTGAGTGACTGAACAATGTATGAGTGAGTGAGCGAGTGAACGTACAATGTATGAGGGTGTGAGTGACTGTACAATGTTTGAGTGAGTGAGTGAGGGAACAATGTATGAGTGTTTGAGTGAGTGAGTGACTGTGCAATGTATGAGTGTGAGGGAATGTACAATGTATGAGTGTGAGTGAATGTACAATGTATGAGTGTGAGGGAATGTACAATGTATGAGTGTGAGTGACTGTACAATGTAGGAGTGTGAGTGAATGTTCAATGTATGAGTGTGTAAGTGACTGTACAACGTATGAGTGTGTGAGTGACTATACAATGTATAAGTGTGTGAGTGACTGTACGATGTATGAGTGAGTGAGTGAACGTTCAATGTATGAGTGTATGAGTGAACGTACAATGTATGAGAGTGAGATGACATTTTACATATTCATCACGGAATGTAGACTTATTAAGAGCTTGTACAATGAATGAATAAATGAATAAATGAATGAATGAGTGAGTGGGTGAGTGAGTGAGTGAGTGTACAATGTATGAGTGAGAGTGAATGTACAATGTATGAGTGTGGGAGTGACTGTACAATGTATGTTTGAGTGAGTGAGTGAACGTTCAATGTATGAGTGTGTGAGGGACTGTACAATGGATGAGTGAGTGAATGACTGTTCAATGGTTGAGTGAGTGAGTGAGTGAACAATGCATGAGTGTTTGAGTGAGTGAGTGAGGGAGTGAGGGAGTGAGTGAGTGAGTGAGTTAGTGAGTGAGTGAGTGAGTTAGTGAGTGAGTGAGTGAGTTAGTGAGTGAGTGAGTGAGTTAGTGAGTGAGTGAGTGAGTGTACAATGTATGAGTGAGTGAATGACTGTTCAATGGTTGAGTGAGTGAGTGAGTGTACAATGTATGAGTGAGGGAGTGACTGTACAATGTATCAGTGTGAGTGAATGTACAAGGTATGAGTGTGGGAGTGATGGTACAATGTATGAGTGAGTGTATGAGTGACTGTACAACGTATGAGTGAGAGAGTGACTGTACAATGCATAAGTGTGTGAGTGACTGTACAATGTAGGAGTGTGAGTGAATGTTCAATGTATGAGTGTGTGAGGGACTGTACAATGGATGAGTGAGTGAATGACTGTTCAATGGTTGAGTGAGTGAGTGAGTGTACAATGTATGAGTGAGTCAGTGACTGTACAATGTATGTTTGAGTGAGTGAGTGAGTGATCAATGTATGAGTGTTTGAGTGAGTGAGTGAGGGAGTGAGTGAACAATGAATGAGTGTGTGAGTGACTGTAAAATGTATGAGTGTGTGAGTGAACGTACAATGTTTGAGTGTGTGAGTGACTGTTCAATGTATGAGTGAGTGAGCGAGTGAACGTACAATGTATGAGCGAATGAGTGAACGTACAATGTATGAGTGTATGATTGACTGTACAATGTATGAGTGTCTGAGTGACTGTACAACGTATGAGTGAGAGAGTGACTGTACAATGCATGAGTGATTGAGTGAGTGAGTGAACGTTCAATGTATGAGTGTGTGAGGGACTGTACAATGTATGAGTTTGAGTGAATGTACAAGGTATGAGTGTGGGAGTGATGGTACAATGTATGAGTGAGTGAATGACTGTTCAATGGTTGAGTGAGTGAGTGAGTGAGCGATGAATGTGTGAGTGAGTGAGTGAGTGTACAATGTATGAGTGAGTGACTGACTGTACAATGTATGAGTGAGTGAATGACTGTACAATGTATGAGTGTGTGCGTGACTGTACAATGTATGATTGAGTGAGTGACTGTACAATGGATGAGTGAGTGAATGACTGTTCAATGGTTGAGTGAGTGAGTGAGTGTACAATGTATGAGTGTTTGAGTGGGGGAGTGAGTGAACAATGTATGAGTGATTGAGTGAGTGAGTGAACGTTCAATGTATGAGTGTATGAGTGACCGTACAATGTATGAGTGAGTGGGTGACTGTACAATGTTTGAGTGAGTTAGTGACTGTACAATGTATGAGGGAGTGAGTGACTGTACAATGGATGAGTGAGTGAATGACTGTACAATGTATGAGAGTGAGATGACATTTTACATATTCATCACGGAATGTAGACTTATTAAGAGCTTGTACAATGAATGAATAAATGAATAAATGAATGAATGAGTGAGTGAGTGACTGAACAATGTATGAGTGAGTGAGAGAACGTACAATGTATGAGTGTATGAGTGAACATACAATGTATGAGTGTATGAGTGAACATACAATGTATGAGTGTATGAGTGCACGTACAATGTATGAGTGAATGAGTGACTGTACAATGTAGGAGTGTGAGTGAATGTTCAATGTATGAGTGTGTGAGAGACTGTACAATGTTTGAGTGAGTAAGTGACTGTACAGTGTATGAGTGTGTGAGTGACTGTACGATGTATGAGTGAGTGAGTGAATGTACAATGTATGAGTGTGTGCGTGACTGTACAATGTATGAGGGAGTGAGTGACTGTACAATGGATGAGTGAGTGAGTGACTGAACAATGTATGAGTGTTGGAGTGAGTGAGTGAGTGAGGGAGTGAACAATGTATGAGTGTGTGAGAGACTGTACAATGTTTGAGTGAGTAAGTGACTGTACAGTGTATGAGTGAGTGAGTGAGTGAGTTAGTGAGTGAGTGAGTGAGTTAGTGAGTGAGTGAGTGAGTTAGTGAGTGAGTGAGTGAGTGTACAATGTATGAGTGTTTGATTTAGTGAGTGAGTGAACAATGCATGAGTGTTTGAGTGAGTGAGTGAACGTACAATGTTTGAGTGTGTGAGTGACTGTTCAATGTATGAGTGAGTGAGCGAGTGAACGTACAATGTATGAGGGTGTGAGTGACTGTACAATGTTTGAGTGAGTAAGTGACTGTACAGTGTATGAGTGTGTGAGTGACTGTACAATGTATGAGTGAGTGAATGACTGTACAATGTATGAGTGAGTGAGTGAGTGAGTGAGTGAAGTGAAGTTAAGTGAAGTGAAGTGAAAATACATACGGTAGTCTTTGGTTTATTTCCGAAAGCCCCACTGTCACCAATTAAAATGTAACTTGCATGAGAGCGATGTTCCGGAACATAATTATGTAGAATGTCCTTTAAGGTGTTCCGTGGTTAAATTTGAAAAAAAAACCATGGTGACAATCGCTTTCCGCGATAACAAACGAACAAACTACATCTTATATATATATTACATATTATACATATTTTATTTTATTGTTCGGAATAACAATCAACAAGCATTGTTTATAATTTCCTATACACAAAACGCATGTCTTGATTGTATTATACACACATCACGTGACCACCCTTGTCAACAACATAATATACTTACAAACGTGTCCACTTATACCAGTATTATTGCTGTGACAATAAACACCAGAAAACATTGATGTTAATTCAACATCAGAAACCTTTCATGTAAAAATAAAATGTCGGTTTCCGTATGTAATAAAATTGCACGCTATCAATTTACTTCCTTATTACTTGATATCAGTCCATTTTTAATCACACGTTGTACACAAGTATATGGAATGTTATTCTTTATACAGTGAATCAAACGATATTGTCATACAGATAAATACGGCCGAATGTTTCCTGTACGTATCCCATGAAGTGCCACCTTTAAATCTGCATTCAGCATTCTTGTCACCCTGGTAAAAAGACTAGCCTCTTCCTACCGACTCAGCTAGAGGGAATTTCTCTTTAGCTCATTCTATAGAGCGTTAGACTAGTAAGCCAAAGGTCCCGGGTTCGACTCCTGGCGGAGGCATTGAAAACATATTGACCTCTGTTACATTCTGAAGTGTCATAAGTTATCAAAAAAGCGTTTTTCTCTGACAACTACTTTGCATATCGTCAATGAGACGATCATGACGGAGCAGCAAGCAAGCAATATTAGTCAACTGAGCGATTGATTCAAAGCTATTTACTGTGTTATTTGAAGCGGTCTGCCAAGCGTCACATTGACAAATGTTAAAATGGTGTCATAGAGGAATCCACGTTTTAATATGTTTTATTATATGCATGGACATTTCTCGCAATCACATTAGTCGGATCCTATACACGTGATTAGTCCTCAAAAACTCATGTAGACTGGTTATCCGGTGAATATCGATTTCTAAATATAGCCTGTATAGAAATTCCCCGGAAACTCTCGTAGCGCTTGCGCAGTTAGACTGGAACGCGATCTGTCAGACGATATTATATAAATATGACATTCATTAGCAGGTGACAGTGAATATTGTCAACCCGAGAAGACCATTGTCACCCAAGGCGAAGCCGAGGGGGACAATGGGTAATGAGGGTTGACAATATTCACTGTCCCCTGCTAATGAATGTCATATCTATTTTGTTACACCAAAAGTCTTTGTAGCTCAGAAACAGCAGCAAACTTCGATAATGACATCTTATTTGTTGATAGTCTGCTGTTTACAATCGTTATCGCACCGGCGCTTGATGAAATTGGCTGTTGCCGTCAAACGTTCTTGTGAACATCACGGTTGGGAAACGAAGCGGTGCACGCATATTTTTTGCGCATGTGATATTTTTCACTGTCTCATGGCAATATCACCCGCGCCCCTTAAAACCAATGTATTTTCGGAGGGTGACAGAGATTTTTGTTTAATTTTCTCCAAACCAATCAAATAGCTAGAAATNGGCCATTGAACAAGCAGTGCATGTCCTCCATGCTTATCTTAAGAAAAAGAATCTAGACGATACCTTCGAAAGCTACAATGATGAACTGTTGTATTCAAACCTGGCTAAATTTTACACGGATGCTCGCGTACAAAAATCAGAACCTTTAGTTTTTTTTTGTTTTATTTTATTGTTGAAGCATATAATAAAACAGTTATGGATTTTTGTGTTGGTAAATATGATGTGATATGAACCTGAAAGAGTGATATTGACCTCGGCTTCGCCTCAGTTAATATCACTCTTTCAGGTTCATATCACATCATATTCACCAGCACAAAAGTCCATAATTGTATAGTATTCATCGTTCTACGAAAGTTATTTCCATTTGTTAGGCTATGAATTTGTATAAACATATGCATATGTAGGAGGCCACACATTTGCCGAACTACGAAACGGCGGATTTACCACTTTAAATGGTGATGGAGCGAACCGAAAAGGATAAGATTTTAAAATAATGAATGGTGTAGCTATCTAGTTGCGTCATTACGTCATTATTTGTGGGGTTTTGTTTAACTGCAGCCAATTTACTTAACAAATAACGCTCCATAATCGGACGAAAAGGATCCGAAATCGTCACTGCATGAAACAAATATTCAAGAGTCATGAACTCATTGCTAGTCGATGAAGTATGGATCAAAATAATGTTCGTCATTAAAATTGGCGAAGTAATCCGTTTCGTTGTACATTGTTCACTATTCAATGTCAACACATGATAGACGGTAAATGTCATTTGATTCTGAAGAGGTTATTGACCAATAAAAAGTATAACTGTTGCGGAAATGACGTCATATCTGTAGTTCCTCCGTTGCCGTGTCATGATCACATGCAAGTTCCGTTGCTATGGAATTTGTGCTGGCGCATTCCTCTTTTCGCTGTAGGCTGAATACTTTCTGTTTCAATGAAAACTTAAAACTTTGGAATTGTTTGGACGAATCTTTGGTATATTCGAAAGTAAATCCTCCGAGCATTCCGCCAAGTATCGGGCCCACCCAATAAACCTGTAACGAAATTAATTAAAAACAAAAATATTTACAATCGGCATTTGTTTTGGTATTTTCATCTGTTTGCTAATAAATCTGCATGTTCTCCATCACAGAGCTCATATTAAATATGCGTATGTTCAAATCCGTTAATATGTGTATACAACGATGTAAAGATTTCTTCAAATATGTATATGCGTGTATCATGGTGGAATATTTAACGAGGGTGAGGAAATGTTGGAAAAAAATAACGAAGTTTATAACTTTCCTATCATTTTCAAATACCGAGTTCACCATAATATACAAACAGTTGGTGAGTGTAACTATTCATACTAGTAATATGTAAATAAGGTCTTTTTCACGTTTACCTCAGTGTCCATACGCCCATGATAAGCAAGGTGCCCTAAATAATCTAATTATTTAAATAAGGCTATCCTTTTTCGCGTGCAAACAGTTGTTTACTCGTGACTGATGCAAATTATGAAATAGAAACCTGCAAATAATAATCACAGCCTAGAAATGAAATTTTGACATTGAAATTGTTTCTGTAAAGAATGTTACAATGTAAAATGATACTTCATTTGTACCTTTAATACTTTATTTGCCAGCTTAAACTAAACGAAACCCATAAAATGGGACTCTTAAATTGCATAATTATCTCATAAGAGGATCCGGCCTTTACGGGGTAATATCCGGCATGGTACGAACTTGGTCCAGGGCAAGGTCATTTTGCGTTTCATCTTAGAGTTGGATATTTACAAATCTTAACTTTTGAGAAGGATATTGCGTCTCCTCCCTAAATCCATACGAGTTACTTCGTGACACCATATTTTGTTCTTGTACCATTGATGATATTAAGATCATCAAAATCTCATTCCTCGACTTTTTTTATCTTGTTCACTGCGGGTAGGGATCAGGACGTTGCAATGAAATTGACATCCTTTGCGATCGTGACGACATGCCATATTGTGTCAGGAGTGGAAAAGAAGTGTCAAAATAATGTTTTTATGTTTTGTGCAAGTTAACATTGTAGAAATGTGAGAAAAATATTAAACGATGATCGAAACTATTTCATTGCAGGACGTTGCAACATCCCGATAATAATTCTGACTCGCGACTCGATTCAAATTTGTAACAGCATCATGCCGCTCCTCGGCTTAGATTAATTGACATCGACCGTTAACAAGTAAATATATAAATAGCACGTTTGATCAGCAAGAACAATTTAAAGGATCAATTAAGTACAATCCGCCTCAGCGACGCATAACCTCGAATAAAATAGTACAAACGTTATTGTTTAGATATGATAATTTAGGCTTTGGTAGTATGTTGAACAAAGGCGTATTGATATAAACCTTGTTGAATCGATTTAATACGATATCGATACACTGAAATTAAAACCAATACATTCGTGCACATCAATCAATAAAACCACAGCGGTATTTCAACCTCACTTCACCGCATTAGATTTTTCTGACGGTATTATTAACAAACTGAAATGTTATTATTCATGCAGTCCAGGATTGTTTTCACGCTGCGATATATTGAAAACTGTGTGAAACAATGCAAATCATGTGCAAATAAATTATAACTCTGTTTAAACTGCTGCGGTAGTGGCACGTTAATTTGCGCGATCAAAAAGCAGTTCCGGGGCTTTGGTTTAGTGGTATGAAAACCAAATAAACAGGAGAATTGGATTTGAATATTTGCTATGCAAACTAAGGAGATAATTAATACTGATTGTTCATACATGTGTATGTTTATTTTCACTCGCACAAGAATGAGCGCAAACGCCCGCATGTTAGGCATGTATACGTAGCTGCTTACACATGGCATCCACGGCAGTATAAATGTCATCTGGACTAAGGCAAAGTCAATCTAGCGTATCGGCGCTTTATGTTGAACTAACCTTTTCCCAGTTGGCATTCATATAACCTATGAATTATAATAAAAACATCTCACGCTTATATTTATCATTTGCTATTATGGTTCCGTTTCTATTATCATAATTAAAATTTCCCGCGTATATCATTTCGAATTTTTGGAACACTCAAAAGCCGAACCGGAAATAGCAGTGATTACGTCAACAAACCACCTATTGCGTTCAAAGCTTATATGAATGCCTGCTGAGAGTTTAAGAGTTGTATAGTGGTAGTTATTTGATAAATTCAAGACAATCACGAATTACCTATAATCCCATACAAACATATAATTGTGTAACAGGATAAAGGGAAATGCAACGGTAAGACCGGGATTCGAACCCGGGACCCTCCGAACTCTAGACGGACGCTCAACTAATTGAGCTATCTAGTCGCCGACGATCGATCTAGTCCAGTTCCACTACAATTGTATCAAAGCACTAATTTCTAGCAATAATTATACGTTTTTCCCTCAAACAATTACAATTTGCTTTTTTGACAGAAATTGTCCATGACAGCACCAGCTTTGGTCTTTAAGAGTTTAATTACAACTTTCGATTTCAAGAAAATCGTAATTGGAATGTTTTGATATTTAGCTAAAGGAAATGTAGATTTAATTTTAAAAAAAAGGCCAAGCATTTCAACAGGAAATCGATGGCTAAAAACTAAAATGCGTTGTGATTGAACCATTTCCTTCAGGAAAGGCACGTTTAAACGAACCATTGATGAATGGCAGCCACATCAATGAAGGATTACCAAGGGATGATTATGAGGTGTAAACAGAGTAACTGGTTATTCGTGTCAAGTAAATTGAGAAAGGAGGGGGGGGGGCGGCGAAGGAAGTGAATTATAAATCAAAGAAGGGAAGCACGGACGCGTGATTAGAAGGCGGGGGAGTAAAGTAAGAGGCTACATGGAGGAGGAAAAAGAGGTAGAGGGTAGTATGAGGAGGAAGAGAGGCAGAGGAGGAAAAGAGAGGGAAACATGATCGCGACCTCGAGACATGGTGATTCCCCAATTATGCAGGGGTTCACACATTAGTCGCCTCCTACAATACATGCAGTGGGTAACAGCAGGTGTATTCTTTTCTCGATCCCCGGCCTGTATGGAAGAGTTCCACCCATTAACATCGTTTATGAAAGTATGTACCAAGCTGACTTTTAGGTGGTATAAATTTATCTGCCTTATACACAGTATGTATTAACTCATTCACCCCTGAAGACACATTTGAACTCCTCCAATTCAAAGGTTGAAATAGTTCATTATAAAATTTCAGGGGTGAATGAGTAAATGACGTTTAATCTTTGCGGAGAGGTTAAACATAAGTACGATCCGGATAAGCAATACAATTGTTTCGACTCTTTACTGTGTTCAAACTCTCTTAAAGACGTTTGTGTGACTTGCGAAGACCGGTGTAGCCGGGGTTTCCTGTCTCAAATTCTTATGAAAAACGAAAATTTAAAACAAGCAAACATATCACTGTCCGTTTAACTTAAATGAGAATAGCTTTAGTGTGATTTTTACTACCATACACCATAGATTAACTCTTAGGGTATTTTATAATACGAAAGTTTCACTGTAAATTATTTTTTTTCACGTTGGTTTGGTTTAGGTTTGTTTGTGTTTTACGTCCTATTAACAGCTATTGTCATTTAAGGAAGTGTCAGTTTTGGTGGTAGATGAAAGCCAGAGTTCCCGGAGAAAAACCACCGACCGACGGCCAGTACCTGGCGACTGCCCCACGTAGGCCTCGAACCCGCGACCCTGTGGTGCTTGTAGTAGCAGAATGTCAGACTCCTTGGCGACCATTGGGAATGTGAATATCACAATTGCGAATTCATGCATATTTAAATTACATTTATATGAGCGAATTAGTTTGTATTGCGGTAACCCAACACTGTAAACGCCATTGTCTATCTATTTATTGTCGGCTCTTCAGGTGGCATTATTGCGCTGGAACATAGTAAAAGGGGAGTCAGGGCTACTCCGGATTTATACATGACACTTTATAAACGGTAAATCCACGAAAAGACTCCATGACATGATATACCTACCCAGTGGTCCGTCCAAATGTTCATGATGAGGGCGGGACCCAGTGACCGAGCAGGATTGATGCTAGCCCCGGTATATCTTATCTGTTAAAATACAATAAGGTCAAAAGGTCAAACAGTTTCAAAATAAAAACACCGCCAAAATTAAACAGGATAACAATGAAGGCATCGAATCTGAATTGGACCGACGATAAAGACGACGCTGCAACTAAAAATTTGAAATACAAATAATTATTGAAATGTTATTTCATATCCTTTTTAATTCATTAAGCCGCTTGTCCTACTTAACTTTCTTAATTGAATTTTTTGTACATAATATGATACAGTCGTTTTATTATCCATGTATCATTGCACTTTTCTTATATCAAAGGTGTTATCGATCATAAGTTTTTTTATAACTGTACTTTTTTTTAAAGTTTTAATCCGGTATGAACTTTCATGGTTTATATGGAGTTTTGTTGCGGTGTCGAAGTCAATGTCACTTTTTCTGATTCATATAATAATAAATAATAATAATGATTCGAGGTTCTTATATGCAGCTTTATCACAACATAGTTCGTAGGTCGTCTCAAAGCGGTTCAGCACATTATTATCCGTGGTTATAGGGCCTTTGCAACCAGCCAATATCTTTCTCAACTCCATGGGGAGCATACAGCCGGTGCTGCCATTTCGGCGCTCACTGCTAGCATTCAACAATTCTAGCACTGCCCAACCACGCACTCATTTACAGCTGAGAAGACTGGAACAAGCGGAGTAAAGTATCCTGCTCAAAGATACAACACAGTGACGTGCCGTGACGCGAACCCGCAACCCTTCGGTCACGAGCCCGGCGTCCAACCACTAGACTACCGTGCCTCCTAATCACATAATCACATATTCACCAAATTAAAAATCCATAATTGGTATATATTGGACGCTTAATAATGTTTTAATCATTAAACAAGATACATCTGTAAAACGTATAACCATTGAACAGAGAAAAGTACTACAAAGTCAATATATTTGGCAGGGAGCCTTGTGAAGCTAAAATTGAACTGACGTCATAACGTGAATATTGACCTGTTGTTTCTTAAAACAAAAAGTAACAGTATTTTCGTGTCATTTATATAAATATTCTGCATATGCCAAGCTCTGCATATTTTTAATAATTTAAAGTTGAGACAGCTTAAACCGAGAAGGCAGTAATAAAAAATTGATAAGAGTCCAATCTGGATATCCATATGATGAAACCATAGCCACATGTGATGGATTAAAAGAAATTGTTCGTAGACAATCAATGAGTATTGGGTTTGCTTATTGCCAATGAAATATATTGATTGTGCAACACTTCAAAAATCCTCGTCATTTGAGCGATTTATTTTTAAGCCAAACGCAACGTTGCTTGAGGCAGAGCGTCAAACATCAAATTAAGTGGTATAAAATGACGTCATTATCATGATCACGTGAACATGTTTTGTATGATCAACAAATTCATTTTATTTTATTACCATCCGCAAACAACAAAATACCTATAATAGATTGTTGAATATTTAGTCCTTACACAAGCCGGTGATAGACTTCATGGTTAAAACAATACGTATTAGATATGCTATTCAATCTTTTAAACATTGCAAAAGTGTTTTAGTCAGGAATTTAATTCATTTCTACTTTGCATTAAAACGCGATCATTGAAGACGGCATTAAGTGTGTACAAGCATTTAACACACTACATGCCACATTCATGTAACCCGACGTCATTCATAGCCTTATAAACGCAAACTGAATGCAGTTCAATGTTAAATAATATCACTTTGTAAAGTAGGTTCGTGAAGTAATTAAATAAAAGAAAATGAAATTAAAATGTTATTGTATTATGCAACAAGGAGTGTGTCGGCGATTCATCTCAGGATCATCTAAGCATTGACATTTTTTTTCTGCATGTCTGTAATATAATTGGTAAATAATTGCTGAAAATATAATCCATATCTTGCGAGTCTTTCTATAAAACAATAATAAAGATAGAAACACTATTTGTTCTGAGTTTAAAACTGATACGGGATCAGACAAGGGCCTGTATTCATTGAACCTTTCTCCTGCTTTATCATGGATCCTATGCTCGAACCAACTTGCTTGTTACTCGCTTAAATCATGTGACACGGACATTCAGTCATGTGTAAACATTTAAAACAGTTTTCGGCTTTTATCTACATTTTTTACGAATCATAATGACGAAACCTGTTTTTTTTATTAGTTTATCGTCGGAAACATAAATTGGGCTTAGGCACATACTCTAAGTTCGAGAACGAACACGGTCTCAAGAATACGGGCAAGGATTCGAATTCGGATTAAGGGGAGGCTACTGTATATACGGAAAAAACTGGAGCTCTCTCGTGTTTTGTCTGTAGTGGAACAGGGATCCTTAAAGTATTGACATACAGTAAGATCAATACTATACAATATTTGTTACATTACTGATAATTCTTCTGGTTTTGGCTTTTATGTTGATATCACTGAAAGTATATTTGAGGAACGGATTGTGAGACGCCATGTTTGATGATAAATATACATTCTGAGTGGATCAATGGAAAGTGTCTGATACAAAAACAGCAGGAATGTTTTGATAGCAGTATTCATTTATTTGGTCCAGATAAACAATGTTTCTCAAACAAAAAAATAATCGATAATGCCCTTAAAGTTTTTTGTCGATGTCGCTATTATCCCTTTGTTTGACACAATAATCTAATGTTTCCATTATCCTTATAAATTGATAAGGTCCAACGGTTTTCATTTATACATAATTATATTATCGGCGGAATAAAAAAAATTGACTGATACTAGGAAAACACGAAAATAATCTCTCGTGTAAGTTTGGCTTCATTATGAGTGTTTACAGTTATCGACTTTCGTGTTTCGAGTTTCTGCCGTAAAAGTGTCAAAGTCTAACACAAGACAGGTTTTACTCGCATGGCGGTGTTAGGGGCGGTAATCGAATTGTCGCGCGCTGCCTAGAAAAAGAAGTGATAATTACAACTCACATTACGTCTATTACAGAGACAGATACATCCTCTCGTGAGACTAGAAAAAAACTGTAAACACCATGTGAAGTACACTTACTAGATATAGACTGAAGTTCAAACACTATACACTACATGTACTCTTACAAATGAAATTTAAGGATCCCCATACCTCAGCTAAACACTGCAAATACATATTAGAAATTATGGGTTTTTTCTGGCGCGACTATAGCTTTGATAATTCATGTCTGAAAAAAAATCCATAACTTACTGGACTTTTGAAAATGAAAACATAATAACGATGAAAGAAACATAATATATTCAACAACAGTGTTCTTTGTGTAAAATTCCAGCGTGGCTATACCGAGATTTGAACCTGGAATTCACATTGTTATGCTTTCGCTGTAACTGGACAATAGTCTCGTTCAACCAGACGCTTGATCACTTGTAATTCTCTGTTCGGCGTAGCTTGCGAAGACAACAAGAGTCTGGTTGAATGAGACTACTTGGTTAACGGAAGTGTCCTGGCTGTACAGTGCTACCGTTATATCCAAAAGGAGCTTAATGAACGCCAAAAGACTGTTTATACAGAAACCCAAAGTGCAGTGGAACAGGGATCCTTAATTTAAAAGTACGGCTACTCTACTTGCAAAATTGGTTCTCAAACTTTGCACACTTTCCAATGGTGTTCAAAAACCACAATGAAGGCATTTTTAAGAAAACAACTCTAACAAATAGACTAGGTTTATCGTATACTTTTGCAAACAATAGAGTTCAAATGTAAAACTTGATCTTTAATCAGGTATATTTTTGTGAACCACAAAATACTAAAAATAAAAATTACATATATATAGGTACATTTTGTTACATGTATATCTAATTAAATGTTGTAAGTCCCTTCTGGATAATATGCACAACCGTCACACATACAAATACTATCGCCGCATGAAAACTTTCCGGAATCCGGCTCCCGGCATACCATCTTTGCTTATACATGTTCCAGTATACCGCAAGTGTCAATAGCCACTAACCATGTACTGACAACTTCGGAAATATTGGATTTCCGTCAAATAATAAAAAAAAAAATATAAATGGTTAAAGCGTCATCAGAAAACATAGATAACACTTAACATTTATTTAACATTTTTATAAACAATGAACTTTTTTTATCAGACATGACTTTGAACTTCCATAATAGATCACGCTATATAAGTGGTTAAACTTGTGCCCAACTCCCATTGTATAGAGATTACAATAAAATATGTTCAAAACAAAAGATCATATTAAAAACACTGAATGTCTGTCAGTCAATTTAAAAAGAGATTCATCAATAATGAACCTCAACCTGAAAATTATGTAATCAGCGGACGTCTTTCAGAAGTCAATATTAATTTATACCATCACTTAGAAAATACATCACGTAACAAACTCGATACAGTGAACATTGCCTCTCGCTCACCATCGAGAGTATTTAACATCAATTGATTATGCATATGCCATGCATGAAATATTAATACGAATTATGAATGCTGATTGTATTTCAGGAGTCATCAAACACCACACACAAGTTAAAGTTACCAAACACCATAAATATAACTCTGTTCGGCAATACATGGGCCCCTCCGGGCCAATCGAAAGTTAAAGTCACCAAGCACCATGCATTGGCTCCTGAGCGCAAAACGAAAGTTAAAGTCACTAAACACACTATATATAACCCCCTTCGGCAATATATGGGACCTGTGCGCGAAACGAAAGTTAAAGTCACCAAACACCATAAATATAACCCTGTTCGGCAATACATGGGCCCCTCCGGGCCAATCGAAAGTTAAAGTCACCAAACACCATAAATATAACCCTGTTCGGCAATACATGGGCCCCTCCGGGCCAATCGAAAGTTAAAGTCACCAAGCACCATGCATGGGCTCCTTAGCGCAAAACGAAAGTTAAAGTCACTAAACACCATAAAAATTACCCTCTACGACAATTCATGGGCACTGTGCGCTAAACGAAGTTAAAGTAATCAAATACTTTACAAGGGCCATGTGGGGCAAACGAATGCTTAATAGTTGTTTTCGAATACGTATTATAAGA